CTGTTAGCATGAAGTCACAAGTCATTATGATTTTATGCCAACATGAAGCATTTGAGCATGCTGGCCGTTTTCAGACTGCTGATCATGTTAGATAACACGTAATTACAGTCTCTTCGACATAGTTGCAGTACAAAAGATAGGGGGTGTTGAACATACACAAATGAGCGAGAACTGATATTAGCTAGCTAGGAATTAGCTAGCTGCCCTAAAAGACGGGCATCCGCGGATACGACTGGCCAGCCACTATAATAATAATAATAATAATAATATTTGAACGTTATAAATTTGTCAAAATTTAGTACAATTCGGGTACAAATAGAGATGAACATATAGCAAATAAGGAAAATTAACATTAATATTAGACATATTTTAGTATAAACCACCAAAGAAAGACAACAATTTCTGGAGACTGTTGGAAGGGTCTTTCCTCATACGGCACATAATGATGCCACTGCTGCTCCAAGGAAGAAAACAAGAGGACGAAAGAAAAAGATTGATGATAGAACTGGCAGGGTAATCAAAAGAGAAGTTGCAAAGAATAGGACTATAACTAGCCAAGAAATTGCAGCCAGTCTAAGCGAAGAGCAAGGTGTTAGTCTTGCCTCTTGAACAGTCCGTCCCAACAAGGTTACAAGTCTTGTTAGAACAAGGCTACAAATCTTGTACACGAAGGTTTAAGCCGCTAATAAGCAAAGCCAACAAAGCCAAGAGACTTGAATGGGCTCACTATTACAAAAATCTCACCGTAGAAGAGAAGACTGGAAGTTACTTTTATCGAACAGCACAATTAATAATATATATAAATGTTCATCAAAAACCAAATCATCCATCATTCATCTGTTCTGGTCTATGTCAAATTCATCCATGAAGATGATATAAAAGAAGAAATGTTATTCATTATAAGTTCACCTGAAACTGCTAATGGAGAGGATATATTCAATGAAGTTATGCAGTATTTTAATGATAAAAATATTTCATTGGCTAATTTGCTCAGCATTGCATCAGATGGAGCTAACTTGACAGGAAAAGCTTTATTTCTAGAATCAAATCAGTTGCTCCTCACATCTTTTATATCCATCGCATTATCCACAAACAGAATTTGGTTACTAAGAATATTGGAAGAGAGATGAAAGAAGCACTCAACACTGCCACACATGGACTTAAATTTGTCAAATCAAACTCAATGAATGATAGCTTTTTGTGCAATTCTTTGAAGATGAAAATTTTGAAACCCTATTACTTCACACGAAAGTAAGATGGTGGTCAAAAGGCCTGAGTTTTAAAAGACTAATGAATTTCTGGGAATCATTAATCAACTTTCTCATGTCCAAGTCCCAAATGATGCATTACAACTCCAATAAGCAAGATGATGCAGCTATGGATATTTTGAAAAGACTTCCTGAATTTAAATCAAAAATATTCTACCTTTTAAAACAGTGAATCTGCTTAACTTAGAGATGCAAAGTAGAAGATCAGATTTAGTCACCCCTGCTCAGAAGATAAAAGACTATACGGGGAAATTGAAATTTTATAAAAAAAAACAGTTTGGAGAAAAAAAATTGGCATCATTTCAAAATTTCAACAACACTCATCAGAATGCATTGCTGCATGCATTTCGCATCTTAAAGGTCTTCATGTAGACTTTGAGAAAAGATTAAAGATGGATTATCAACGATGGTTTGTAGGCCTAGAAAATTATGAGCCAGGAAAATGTTGAGTTGGCTGAAATGTTGCTGAACTTGAAAGTGCGAACCTGAGAAGAAAAGTTGACAAAGAACGTGTCTTTTCCTTCATATCAATAAAGAACCCACACCCAAATATTTTTCAACATGTAGAAGCAAGCATCATTTCTTTCCCTACCACATGGATGGAGGAATCTAGATTTTTGGCTGTTGTGGTTATTTTCAGTAAAAAAAAAAGAAAGAAATTAGACCTCAAAGGCAGAGAAACTATCAGATTAAGACTTAACGACACCATCAAGATTGATTATGATATCTTGTGTCAGAAACACCAAGATCAAGTTCGTCACTAGCTGAATTAACAAAGACTAAACGACACCATCAAAATTGATTTTGATATCTTTGTTTATCCTTGTTTATTAAAATAAATTTTAAAGTGTAAATAGATTACTTTGTCTTTTCCTTGAGTATTTTATTGTGAGAACTAAACAACCTAAAAGTAAAAGTAGGAGTTCTTGATTAGAATTTTTTAAACAAAAATTGTCCATAGGCTGAAAAAGATTGAGAAAAAGTGAATTTAACGACAATTTATCCATCGCGCAGTTAATATATATTATATATATATATGTATATATATATATATATAATTTAATTATAATTTTTAAAGTTCTTATTTTAAAATAAAGGTTCAGAGTGCTCGACCTTAATATGCGAGCCGATATATATATATATGTGCAGATATATATAAAATAGGAAAGAACACGTTAGGTAAATAATCCGGGGTTCTTTGGTATTTTTGTTTTTATTTTTTTTAATTTTATTATTTAAGCTCTATTTCTCTATGGAGCACTGTTTTTAAAAAATAAAAAACAAAAAAACTAAAGAACTCCGGATTATTTACCTAACGTGTTCTTTTCCTATTTTTCTACATATCTGCACACACACACACACACACATATATATATATGTGAACCCACACACACAGATACAAACACACACACACACACACACATATATATATATATATATATATATATATATATATATATATATATGCATATCTATATAAATATGTCTGTGTGTCTGTTTATGTGGGTGTTAGTGGACTATAATAAGTTTTTAGCCACCCTTGATTACAGCAGTTTTGGTGTGTTTAATAAAGTCTCTTTTTTTCAGACAATACAGGGTTAGTATCAAGCTGTGAACAATAGTTGACTTATATCTGGCAATGAAAGTTCGTGGAAGTAAGGAAATTAGTGAATTTAAACAAGGGCAAATAATAGGATGTCATCAGTGTGGCAATTCAAATAATAAAATTGATAGGTTTTTCCAGCTTAATCATGAAAAGGTCAATTGTCAAGATATTTAATGAATAAGGCCATTGTCTTGTGGAACAACGTTCAGGAAGACCAAGCATCGTGTCTGAGCGAACAAAATGGGCACTGAATTGGGAAGTCATCAGAAACCTTCGTCAGAGCGTCAAAGATGTCAACAGCATAGAAATGCCACCATATGCGACGAGAAAGACTCTGAAAGAGCTTGTCTATAAAAGAAGAGTTGCAAGAAAGAAGCCCTTGCTTTCAGAGGTTAACAGAAAACTTCGTATGGACTGGGCGAGTGAATTCGAACGGAAGGATTATGAATTTTGGCAGTCTCTAATGTAGTCAGATGAAGGTAAATTCCACCAATTCTAATTCGAGATTGGTTTATGTTTGGAGAAATCAGAATGAGACTTGGAACACTGAATGCCTACAAGCGACCGTGAAACATGGAGTTATTGGGGTAATGGTGTGGGGCGCTGTCTGGTTTGGCGGGAAATATGAACTGATTCTTTTTGACGAGCGGTTGAATAGTCCAAAATGCTTTCAAATATTAGAGAACGGACTACTCCCACTATTTGAAACAAGTTAGTTTGACAAAAATGTCTACCTTTTTCAAGAAAATGAAGTGCCATATCATACGAGTAAAGTAGCAATGACCTGGAGGGAATCACCAGTTATCAAGTCATTGCCGTGGGTAGCCTAAAGCCCTGACACAAATCCAATAGAGAACGTTTGGGAGCACCTTGACCGAAAAGGTCAACAGCGTGCAACTAAAATCACATTAATGGCAACCCTTAAAGAAACATTGCTAAAGGAGTGACAAAATATGTCTCCGACGATTGTTGATAACTTGATCAAATCCATGAAAAATCAAATACAAGCACTGAAACTAGAAAATGAAGGACCTACTCTATACTAGTTCCAAATACTGTTTATTTATGTTGAATAAGGATTACGTAATTAAATTTTGAAATTGGATGTAGTTTATTTCTCCTAGCTAAAATCTTTTCTTAGATATACTGTATGTGCTTGTCTCGAAAATTAATTACTTCTCTTTTATTATACGGAATATGAATGTGGGATGTGTGACGTATTGCATAATTATTTACTTTTTATTTCAAAAAAATTAGTAAGCGACAGTAATGTTAGAATATCGTCCCCTATGAAAATGTGTAAAGAGAATGGATGTATTACTGAATTCCTGCATATGGAAAAATTGCGCTTCGTTGAAATGGTCCAAAAGAAAGAAACGTGCCGATACACATGCTTCCAGGGTTTTCAAGGCGTCAAGGCATGTATATTGCTGCCAGTTAAGTTGGGCTTCCATTTGATAGGGAGTCGCTCTTTGAACCAGAGAACCTATAGAATGAGACTTAGTGATAATGGAAAAAAGAGGATGAATACAGCAAAAAAATCAACAAAAAGGAACAGAGAGAAAAATATAGGATATCTCAATAAGAAAAATACGTAATAATTAAAGCAGAAATATTTATGGGAAAAATTGGCCAAAAAGGAAAGGAAAAGCGACATAAGAAAATAACGGAAGGTTATAGTTAAGAATGATTGTATACGGAAATATATAGAATCCCCAAGTCATTAATCTCTCCTGGGTATGACGATAAACTACATCCACCAGCATTGGCTCTGATAGGGAGGTTTTGAGGAGCATGTAACCATCTCTTAATTGCTGTTGTTCCCAAGTCCATCCTGATTTGTTCTTGGCAAATAGTTATTCCCCAAGCTGAGCTCAAAAGACTATGAAAGTATAAAAATAGATTTTACTGTTAAAAAAAAGACAGCAATACATTTTTGAAATTTTTTTTTTACCAGCAATACAATTACCTCTCGAGATAATCCCTCTCTACAAAAATAGAGTCAATAAAACCTGAATAAACTGATTTCTAACAAAGAATGCATTCTATTCATAAGAAATTATCATAAAAATATTGTCGACTTTAAATAGCATAATGAGGTTGATATACCGTAAAACAAAATAAATTCAAGTCATGAAAAGGAAAGAAGAAAGAAAAAGAAAGAGAAAATAATAGGCGAGTGATAGACAATGACGACGCAATTTATAATAACGCAAAGTTAAAATAAGCAAAGAAAAAACAACAACGGCGAAGAAATTGATAAAGAGGGAATAAAATGAAAAAAAAGCGGTGAATAAATAAGTAAAGAGACAATGAAAGAAAAAGGAACAAACATGGCAGCGGTGAAGAAAAAAGAAATAATGAAAAGAAAAAATACAGAAAAAAGCTGCAAATAAGAAATAAGTTAAATAAAATTGACAAAAAAAAATAAAATAAAAAGAACGAGGAAAGCTGGAGAAGAGAAAATAGTTTAACGATTTAAGAGAGAGCTGAAAGCAAAAAGAAAAAGAACGAAAGCAAAAGACATGGCCGAAAATTTAATCGAAGAGAGAATGAAAAGAAAACTCGAAAAGAAAGAACGTCTCAGTTAAAGAAAGAAACAAAGAAAATATGTAAGTAAAAAAAAATAATGGGGAAAGAAAAAAAGAAAGAAATATACTACAAAGAAATAAGCGAGAAAGAAAAGTTAAAATTGAAAGAAAGGAAGGAAAGAAGAAATCTAAAAAGGAGGCCAGAGAACAGAAAAAAATGAGCTGTAAGAACAAATGTGAAATTGTATAAAAAAGAAGAAATAAAAAAGAAAACAATAAAAAACTGAAGAATAACAAATAATTGAATTGTTTTATTTATTTCTTTATTTTGGTATTTCTTACGAAATTAAGGACTGTTTATATTTCTGAAACATTATGAAAGATTTATTTCCCTTTGTTGCAGAAAGCCATTATATGGATATTAGCTCTCCAGTAAACAAATAAATCGAATTTGACCCGATGTTAAAAATCCTACATCTAAGACACACAGAATTACGGTTAATTTTAATTTCAGAAAAATATAATTTCAAATCGACTAATATCCTCACTATTATGGAAATATTTTTCATCAGGTATTATTCAAAGAATGTCATATGACGAGTTTTTCTATAAATATGGCGTTTCGAGTGTGTGCGTTTATCGCATTTCGCATATTTATGAAAATATAATATTTATGTTGGTCACATCACAAACTCGCTTTTACGACACTTGACTCTACATTACAATGATAACTCTAACATTTTTAGGCATTTAAAACAACATGCCTGGCCGCATACACAATTCCGGAAAATCCTTGTGGAGAACACAACTATACTTAAACATGAAAACAATAAAAACTAAAAATTCCTGAAGCAAAATACATAAAACAGTTGAAACCTAAGCCGAACAATATAAACTATGAAATCTCCACAAATATTCTTAAATGCCTATAAATAATAACAGAAGCCATTGGTTTATACCAACGGCTTCCTATACTTAGTACTTCACGTTTTCACTCTCGCGTGGCCATGTGTGACGTCACGAGATGCGATGCGATTTTCGCTTTCGCGTCTCGTATACACGTGTTTGTCGTTGCTTTGGAATTTTCATGCAAAAAAAAACAGTCTATAATTATTGTTTCGTCCGTGTATTGCTTGATATATTGAAATGTAACTGCCATCTTTGATAATGGCTTATGTAAGCCGAAAGTATAGATCGGATTTAAACATGTATCAATATGGTGATTTCCTTTCGTCTTTCAATGATAATGTTATTAAGCTTATCAGACAATATGAAAATAACTTACTTAAAATAAACAGACAAAATTTGTCTATATCATTTAATGAAAGCCGCATTAATATATATATATATAAACAGCTAGCCGACAAAGAAACCTATAAAAGCATACCTACATATCCCCTTCCAGAATACCAAAAAGAATTAACTAGCTCACTAAACATAATGCTTCGCAACAATCTAATCGACAAGGAAACATGCACAACACTTACACCTACAAACATTACACCTGCCCGCTTCTATCTCCTTCCTAAAATACACAAAAGCAACAATCCAGGAAAGCCGGTTATTTCATCGTTCAACTGCCACACGACAAAAATTTCCAAATACATAGACCATTACATACAACCGCTAGCTAAGGAAGTAAAATCCTACATCAGAGACACAACAGATCTACTGAACAAAATTAATCACATACAATTCTAGTGACTATGGACGTTAGGTCACTATATTCAAAAATTAAAAACATCGAAGGGCTGGCCGCCCTTCAGGAAGCACTTACTAAAAGAAGAAAACAGGACCCCCCACAGAAGTCATCATAAAACTCATGGAGCATGTCCTTACATTGAATACTTTCAACTTCAATGGAGCACACTACCTTCAAATAAGAGGTTGTGCCATGGGCACCATTGCAGCTCCATCATATGCTACAATATTCATGGGAAAATTTGAGGAGACCCATATCTATCCAATCATTGGTAGCGACTGCGTATTCTATGCAAGATATATCGATGATATATTCTTTGTATACACGGGTGGTGATGACAAACTTACCCAATTCCTTATGACCATAAACACAGTGCACGACTCAATTAAGTTTGACTATGAAAAATCCACAACATCAGTAACATTTTTAGACACCCGCATTTACATAGATGAAAACAGGAAACTACAAACTACACTACACACTAAAATCACCGACACCCACAACTATCTACACTTTAAGTCTTCCCACTCTAAACACCTCAAAGAGAACCTTCCCTATTCACAAGCACTTAGACTCAGAAGGATATGTTCCAACAATGAAGAATTAAATAAACACATTGAAAATCTGGAGCATCAATTCACAACACGTGGCTATAAACAACACCTAATCAGGGAACAAATAAATAAAGCAATTTCCACACCTAGAGAAGACACCCTAATATACAAGATTAAAAATAAATCTAGCCGCATCCCTCTAGTAACCACTTTCAATCCCACTCTGCCTCCACTATCTTGGTAAGGACTTCTCTCTGTGGAATGGCTCGTAATAATACGGATTAAGTTGTCCCTTTTATCTTATGTACCATAAAACAATGGTAATGTAAAAATACACACACCAATACACACGAGAGAAACATGAATAGATTGTCTGAAATTAACATACAGTTTTCTGTTATTTGTGTACGTTTTATTTTTTTGTCAATATGCTTTTATCTCCGTATAAACGACGGAAACTTCTACTGCTATGGTGTGTCTGAGTGAATAACCACCTACCACATTTTGGTGACCACCGACATCCATATGAAAAAAGAATCACCTATTCACCCACAAAAATAAATAGAGTAGTGGACACCGAGGTCGACTGCAAGCGCCGACAGTTTGTTTCATGCATGAACGCAATCTTGAGGCCATGAGAAAGACTGTTGACATTTGGTATTGACTTCAGTGTACAATTCTCTCGCTTTCTCTAACTCTATCTTTCTCTCTCTCTCCCTCTTTCTCTCTCTACATATATATACACACACTCTCTCTCTCTCTCGATATATATATATATATATATATATATATATAAAAGTGAACATAGAAGTCAACACTTAGAAGCGATAGTCTGTTTCAAAATAAATTGACCTAAATTCATCCAAGTAAATAAATAAACAAACCAATCCCGATAAAGTTACTATTAGAAAAAACAAATAAAGATAATCAACCCAAATAAACAGAAATTAAAAACTGTTCCTGCCAAAATAATAGTTAGAATAAACTACAACAATCAACCCCAAAACCGAACAAATAGCTTCAATTAAATTCTCAAACCAAAACAAAACTATTAAATAAGTGATATAAACAATTTTTTACTACGTTAATAAAAACACCGATTAAAAAAAAATAAATAAATAAAATAAGAAACAAAAAATAAAAATAAATAAAAACAAGCAAAATAATTTAACCCAAATAAATAAATAAACGACTTCCGGTAAAATAACCGCCATAATAGACTACCCACAATGCACCACTGACCCGTATATATATATAAATAGCCGAGAAAAATAACAGCACACGTGGCCTGACGATTGCATATAGTATGAAACAGACTGTCGCCTCTAAGTGTTGACTTCTATGTTCACTTTTATATTTACACACGCTCTATCTCTGATATTGAGCACTTTATCCCTATAAATACAGCACACCTTAAGACTATATTTCTTCATATATATATATATATATATATATATATATATATATACTTTTTGAAAATTTGGGGTCAGGTTCCTCAAACAAAAACGAAGACCAAAGTCCATATAAACATGCGTCCTTTGTTTTATACTTAAGTTTAAAGTTTATTGTAGACGCTGTTAAATGTACAATTGGAGATTATTTCGAAACGAGTTCGTGACACCAGAAGAAGCAACACGTCGATAAACAGCAGCAAAGTTTGTATGACTCGGCAGCCTTGGGTCTGGAACGCAATCTGATACTGCGTTGCGTCCATTACCACTCGCACGGTCTTAAGTAAAAATTCATACCTGCCTGCTCATGATATGAATATCCTGCCATTGTTAAACGGATCACTTCTCAGTTAAGTCACGACTACACACCTTAAACGTTGAAGACAGACAAGACACAGATGTACACGAATGACAAATGTAACCTAGTCTCGAAGAATTTTCGGATATACGTTTATATGGACATTTGTCGTTGTTTAGTGTGAGAACCCCCATGGTTTGTAAAAATATTTTCAATGCATCATATATATATATATATATATATATATATATATATATATATATATATATATATATGCAGATATATAGAAAAATAGGAAAGAACACGTTAGGTTAATAATCTGAAGTTATTTAGTATTTAAAAAAAACAGTGCTCAATATATAAGTAGAGCCTAAATTATAATTATATTTAAAGATATGATTCAATCGCTACATAATAGTTCTCATGTTTCAAAAACAGGAGCTAAAGTTGCTACTACAAAATTCTACATTTTGTTTCGGTGTTTAATAAACAACGTCTTCTCGGATAAGTAACAATCGTGGTTATAAACGATTTTAATTCATAAATTGCAATTTTAAATAAGATCGTTTATTACCATTATTGTTAACTACCTGATGAGACGTGGTTTATTAAACGTCGAAAAAAAATATACATTTTTGTAGTAGTAACTTACATGTTCGAATGTAACAGTATATATATATATATATATATATATATATATATATATATATATATATATATATAATCCAAACCGATACTACTATGAATAAGCTGTTTTTTATGTTTATAGACCATCAATAAGTATTAAGCACATATCTAATTACCTAACAAAATATCCGGCTTATACTTTCGTAGAAAATACAATTGATTAGTAATAAATCCTAGTTGACCTGTTCCTATCTCGCCATTAAATGTATTTAGTTAAGCTGTGTACTTAATGGCTTATGGGAACGTTCTTCTCTGTTCGGTATCGGCGATTTAATCTATATCTTCACGAAACTGGCACCGATCATTTCTCTTCATAGCACTAAATAATATTAAAAGAGCGTTGGCCCGGTTGTTTATACTGAAGCATCTACAGCATCGTCGTCAGAGAGAAAGAGAGAGTGTGTGTTTGTGTGTCAGAGAGACAAAGAGTGAAAAACAAAGAGCTAGAAAGAACATTTATTGATATCCCGCTGATAATCGACTTAAAGGTTTTCTCCTCTTCATCAGCAATCGTTTCTGTTTGACAAATA